AAAAAAAAAAAACGAAGTCCAGATGACATGATTCAACCTTTTTTGTTTTAGTTTCTTAAGTTTTTCTTTGGTTTTCTGTAAACCAACAAAGGTCATATTGTTTGTCTAGATGTGGGATGGTTGTGACTGTCACATTTGAAGCAGTCATTTTCATATTGAAACAGATTTGTGACTAAAACATTGCATGGGATTATTTCTTTAGGGGTTATTCACCCTCATCAAATGACTGCTGCAAAAACTTGTTACTTAGCTGACATTTTACACAGTCCTTACAAAAATTCACAAAATAAAACTTGTCATATTTTATACACCTTACAAATCTGCCTGCCTAGGGGGGAAAATGTAGCTTAGCAATGTCTAATCTTTTAATTCCTGTACTTGGAAAAATTTGCGTCTTGTAGGGCTGAACAATTAATTGCATTTGTAATAATATCGCAATATGATAAAACCAGATTTTCTAATCACAAAGGCTACAATTTGACTGGTCACATGATCTGGTTACGTGACTTGCGAGTGAGTGGAGCGAAGCAGAGCAGAGAGCGGGAGAAGTCAACGCTGCACTTTAACCGGTTGCACAATGGTGTCGGGCTCGACAGAAGCTGACACGTCTGAAAGTTTCGTACCAAAGAGGAGCAGCACGTCTGTGGTTTGGAATTATTTTGTCTATAAAAAAGAAGATGCTGCGCAACGACATGTATTGTGCAGAACCTGCCTTGCTGCTGCTGCTGCCTCTCGAGGTAACACCACAAATCTTTATTATCACTTCAAAAACACCACAAAGCCATTTATGATAGTTGCATGGCTAGAATACCAACGACCAGTGCTTCAGCTTCAAGTAAGAAAAGTACCAGTCGACAGGGATCACTGGCCGAACTGTTCAAAGGTTTTACTCCGTATGAACAGAATTCAAAACGTCACGCAGAAATAACTTGAGCTATAACATAGTTCATAGCAAAAGACATGATGCCCATTAATATAATGACCAAGCCTGGATTTACAGCTTTGGTAAACACAATGGATAAGTGGTACAGAATGACCTCGCGCACACATTTTAGCAAAGTTGCTATTCCGGAAAAAATTGCAGAAACAGAGTTGCAGAAGAGCTGAAAACAGTGGAGGTTTTTTTGCACTGAAACAGATTTATTGCTTGTTCATTGAAAAATACATGAGAAGATATTGAAAAATAATCTTATATTAAATCACAATTGCAATGTAAAAAAATAAATCACAATTAGAATATTTTCCAAAATTGTTCAGCCCCAATATCTTTACGTTTATAATCATGTGATGGATCCGTTTACTAATGTGCTGCTTAAAATATAAAAAGTTCTTATTTTGTATGATCCCCTAGCAAGAGTCAGGTCAGTTAAACACGTGTGATCAGCCCCAGTTTGTACTTAGTTTGTGTAGAAAGTGTATTGGGTGAGTTTAATCTGAACAACCACATCACAACCAATGTTTTTTTTTATTATTTTATGAAAACTGTACAATCTGTGTGTCTGTCTCATGCAGGTGTCTGCCCCTGTTGATTACAGTGACCCCCCTACTGTCAAAAACCACCATGAGGTCCTGCGCTGCTTCAGCCTGCTTGGTACATTTTGTTTTTCCTTGTTTGTTGGTGAATATATTTTCAGTGAAATAAAAAGGAGTTAAACTGGATGAGAGAGTAGTAACTGTTGGAGCAGCCGGTTAGACAAACCATCTGTATTTCTATGGAGTCGCATGTGCAGTAATGAGAGCATGTGCTGGACTCCTCAAGATGATCATGTTAACTCTGAAAGTTGCTCTGTTTTCACTTTGAGTTCTTTTTTTTTTCTCCTACATCTTCCAACAACTGACGCTCTGTTCCCTTTAGCCAACTCTTTCCCAGACCGGATGGTGATGTTCGTCCTTCAGAGGTTGGAGAACAGTAACGAACGAAGCAGGCTGGGCTCCCTGGCTGTGCTCCGTCACCTCATCAACTCCTCCAGTGAGGAAATTCAACAATAATCAACATATGCTGTTTGTGGTTTATCGGCTCCATCAGGAGTTTTGTTTTTTACTTGGCTGTTAACTCCACCCTTTTTTCAATACGTTTGTTCCAGCTTCTACGATGGAGAGCAAAAAGCTTCTTATTCTGGCCAGTATTAGACAGCCAATGGCTGACCACAGTAACAAGGTACCACTCGTGTACAAGTACACACTTTGACTCAGTTTGAGGGACTGTTTGATCTGTATTTTTCTTCTAAAACATATTTCTTTATATACTCATATTGGTATTTCTGTTTCTAGGTGAAGAAGCGTGTGGTCCAAGTAATCAGTGCCATGGCTCATCATGGTTACCTGGAACTGGAGGGAGGAGAGTTGCTGGTTAGGTTCATAGTTCAAAACTGTTCTTTACCTGACACACACCAGGTAAATCATTATTTCATTTTAAAACTATATTCTTTACCTTAGATGTGCTTTCATTGGTCCCCAAAGAGGAAAATTCATTGTTAGGGCAGCATTGGACAGTAATGGGTAGAGAACAGCAGCACACATCTGGTTTACATTGAAGATACAAATAAATGGTAAATGAACTGTACTTGTATACACCTTTCTATCTTATCAAGATACTCAAAGCTCTTTGCAACACAATCTGTGCTTCATTTACCCACTCAATCTACTAGATCTGCACAAATAATAATCAGTGCTTTAGCACTTTCATACACCAATAGGACACGCATCGAAATTATGATAAAATAAAATGTATTTTGTTTGTTGAACTGCAGTGCTGTTTACAGTGAACAGTAATGTATAAAGTTTTTATTTTTTATATGTGCATTGTAAGGCGGACGTATTATGGTATAGTCTCAATCTGTAAACTTTTTGTTGTCCCGCCCGTAACTTCGAATTCGCTCAAGATAATTTAACAAAACTTGATACACATTTGTACCACCACTTTACAGCATGTCACATATTTTCATCACCCCAGCTTCAAGGTCACAAATCAAGGTTATACAAGGTCTTTGCTCGTCTAGGCCATTGTTGTAGTTTGTTGACGGACATACTGGGTTGTTGTACTGTTGACAATCTGAGCAGTATTGTTTTTTCTTTCCCCCCCGATGTGTTAGAGAGGTCAGAGACCCCACGATCCAGAGGAAGTGACTAATGAGGCGCTGAGGGCCATGTGTGACAACACACTCCATCTCCTGACCACCACTGTTGGACGACTAGCTGATGTAAATGTCTATGTGGATACCAGTCTGTGTGATTTGTTAGGGGATTACTGCAGTAATGCGTGTATTTTTGTGTTCGAAGGTACTATGGCCCAAGCTGCTGTACTATCTGACCCCTTCACAGTACAGCAATGCCACAACACCTCTCTGTAAGAGCCTCATAGTGCTGGGAACCAAGAAGAAAAGCAACCAGGAGCCCAGCTTCAATATAAACTTTAAACAAGAGGGTTAGTAACATCTTTTACAGACTTGGTGTATCCATGTTAAGATGTAAAGGTGTGCATATTTGCACACACAAAATTAATCCTTCAAGGAATATCATGTATTTGTAATTTGTGTTTATTATCCATGTCCATCAGGAAATCTGCCGTCTCCTCAAACTCTTATGATCAGACTGCTGGTAAGAATTACACAAAAACACAAGAAAATACAAGAAGCAAGAAATTTACAAAACTGCGGTGAATTTGACATCAGAAGTAAATATATTCTGGTGTAAAAGGAGCGAAGTGGCTTTCACATTTAAAGTAGAAAATCAAAGGCAACTTAGTTGAGCCTGATTTATTTATTTTTCTTTATTGCTGCAACAACAAAAAAAAGGCTAATTTTTATTTCTGATTTTATTGTTTCATCAGTGTAGACGGGAGACTCATAAATACAACTTTAGTTTTACACACGTCCTGCTGCTTTATTTAAAGACTTATTATGCGACTGCATGTGTAACCTGGTTTAACAAACTCCCGTAGGTCAACGCAGCGTTCCCGTTCAACTGCAGAAGTCATGGAGCCCCGTCCTTATCTCTCCTTCAAATCCTCGGCATCAGTATTCACCCCAACACAGAGAAAGTCTGGGAGAAAGAAGTACCTCCTCTGATTTCACTGTTGGAAGGTACAGAAGCTTATTTATAGATGTTTATTTTCTAATGAGTTTTAAAGGAAACCTGGTTTTGTTGTAACATCAATGTCTGACTTTGTGTTCCTCAGAGTCAACAGCAGAGAGTCTGGATAAGGACGAGTGGGATGAGAGGCTGCTTAGTGTAAGTTTATTTTTTGATGAATATCATGTGTATAGTACTAAATCTGTTGTGTAAATGTTTATTATAGGTGTCTGGTGATATAGTTGTGTTGCTGTAATTGTCCTCAGCTCTTGTCTATAACCTTGACATCAATACAAGATGACAAGTGGGTGTGTCAGCTGGCTGCTGAATCAACAAAATACCTCTCTACATACAACAACGCCCTAGAGGAGAAGGTAAGGACTTCGACCGTTATCTGCTCAATTTATGTAATGAGTTCATGTAATTATTAGAAGATTGAGTCATCGCACTGTAAATTGCCAGACTCCAAACGGATGACTTGAGTGGTCATTAGAATAATAGTTTTTAATAGTTATTTGTCAAATGAGGGAAAATGCAGCCCTAACAAGTACTTTGCTAATGGGTCCATAAGTGCCAATTTAATTACATCAAGTAAAATGGAAATTGTGTAATTTGACTCACTTGACCAAGCTTTGAAACATCCAAGATAATTTAATATTTCTTAATAAAATTTGTGCCCACTGAATGGTCGTCTGTTCACTCTTGTAAAAAAATAAATAAAATAATAATAATAATGTCAGGAAAAAATGCACAAATTAACTGAGGGAAGACTTCCAATCCAATCATCTCATTTGCACCCCGAACAAGTTTTCTGTTTATGCATCCAGTTGGTTTGAAGTGCAGGCGCCTCTTGTTCCTGCAGAAAGTGACACAGGTTGTGGAAGAAGGTTAATGTGAAGAGGGAGGGGGGCAAAAGATCTGGAGTCTGTCCTGACGAGAAATAAAATCGTAAACAAATTTTATAAGAAAGCAATACATTCTATTGAGTTTTTTATGAATGCTATTTTCTATACAATTAGTTATTTAAATCACTTTTAACATCAAAATTGCTTAAATTCCATTCTGCCAGACATGCGATGTTACATTTGTGCCACATAGTTGAACAGGTAGTGATGATCATGCCTTTATAGGTTTGAGCAAATGGCATCTTCTGTGCACTCAACGTGCACATCACATCACCCTATGATGAAATCACAGCTTTCATTATCGTTTTAGATATCCATATACCTCATACCTGAGTGAGCCACACAAGTGGCATGGATTGTTTATTTTCTGTGTGTTGTCTCTGGACATGCTCACCGTCCTTGCATCTACCCCACCCCAGCGTAATGTCGGCATCATTATGTGCTAGTGTGCGAGATTTTTTTCATTATCACACTGTTGACCTTCAACCAAAGATTAAGAGCGTGTTAGGAATTTTTTTGTCTCCAAACCTTACGTGTCATTTTTTCACCACTTTTTATTGTCTGTCCAAACAGATCTCACTTGTAAATGAGTCTTCGAGGCTCAGTGTGACTTATCTGTCTAAATAAAAGTTGAATGAATGAATTTAAAATAGTGTGACCCAAACAAAGGCTTTAGTCCCCCTAGGTGACCACTGAGTGGGCCAGACCACTGGGAAATGGCCCGGTGCTCCCTATGGCCAGCCTGCCCCCAGGGCTCCGTAACCGTAACATCTATCTGTCTGCTCTCTTTTGCTGTGCTGTCTATTTTTGTGACTTTATCATACTGGGCATGGGTCCGGACAGAACAATCACTTGGTCCGGATCCTGACCGAGGTCCGCCTATTAGTGACCTCTGGTTGAAAACATTAAGAACACTGCAAGAGTGTGGGAAGGGTTTCTAAAGCCTTAAAATATATAAAATGCTAAAATGAATATATATAAAATGCTAAAATGAATATAATGTCCATACTTTGTGGATTTTCACCTATAGCACAGGTGTCTGGAACATAACGCCCGTGATAAGTGAGGGACTACCATAATTGTACTAAAAACAATATTCACTCTCACCCACATTTTTAAAATGTGTTTAAGTACTCAGACAAGGTATGTTGGGCAGAAAGCTATAAAATAAATCTCCCATAAAGGGGGTGGGGGGTTGTGTTGTTGAAGCGGGGTGCAGGAGAGGCACAGCCAGGACACCATTCATGCTAGAACCACCCCTGTCTGAGGCAATAATCTGGTTGTTAACGGTGTCTCTGGTGCTGTGCACACTGATGCAATGTACAAATTTACAAACACCAGAATGTCATCATGTTTCCTTCTTTAGAGCTTTCTGTATCGATGCATCGGAGTGACTCTCCAGCACTGTTTCAATAAAGAGGTTGTGAAGAAGCAACTGCAAGAAGTCCTCCTCACAGCACGACACAGTGATGCTGTGGAAAGAGAGGTAACTGAAGCGTAGAACATGTATGTTGCGAATAAAAACATCCATGCTGTGTACTTTGCATTAGTCTAACTTCTAATTTCTGACTTCAGGGAGTTGCAATGGGCGTCGGTTTGTGTGCCAACAGCCATTTAGAGGGAACTTTAGCCAAACTCGATGAGTTTGGAAAATCAGACGCCTTCAAAAAGACCCCAAGCATCTTCAACCTGCTGAAGGTACAAACCTGTTTTTTTACAACTCAAAACCTTTTTAAAGTACCAAGTTACTGAAGGAGTTCATGTAAAAACAGTTTGACTCCTTTTGTTGTCACCACAGGAGCGTAATGATGTTGAGGTAGAGAAGGTGAAAAGCACATTAATTTTGTGCTACGGTCAGGTGGCCTTGAATGCACCGCCAGAAAAGATTCTCAGCCGCATTGATCAAGACATCCTGCGCTGCATCAGTAAACATTTCAATACTAAGGTAACTGCGGGGACTACATACTGTTCATATTGATTATATACACAAATAATTTTCTCACTGTATATTAACCCTTGAAAGATCTTATAGGGAAAATTCATTTATTTTTGTCCATGTTTTTATTTACTTACTTTTTGGTGTAGTCAATACACATTTTTATTTTTCTGACAAAGCCATCCATCCATCCCTTATATTATCTTTTACCTGCTTCTTCCTTTTCTGGTCGCGGGGGTCTCTGTTGCCCATGTCCAGCCGTCACTGTGCGAGAGGCACACACCCTGGACAGGTCTCCAGTCCATCACAGGGACACAAAGAGACAAATGAGACAAACAACCATTCACTCTCTCACTCACACCTAGAGACAATTTAGAGTTGCCAATCAGCCTAACATGCATGTTTGGTCTGTGGGAGGAAACTGGAGTACTGTACCCGGAGAAAACCCTCACATGCACAGAGGGAACATGCAACCTCTACCCAGAAAGGTCCTGGACTGGGATTTGAACTCACAACCTTCTTGCTGAGAGGCAACAGCTCTACCAACTCCACCACCATGCTGCCTACAAAGCCAAATGTTCTCAGAATTTTTTCAGAGAACATTTGAAAAAGAAAAAAATCGATTAAAGGGAAAATCCATTAGAATTTTTTTGATCCCATATTTATCATATCATAAAATGATGAATTCTTCTCAATAATACTTTTTCTTTATACCTTTGTTTGTGTACACTCAATTTTTATATTAGCTAGATGGTACTCTACTTTTACATTTGAGAGCCTCTGTAAAAATTGACCACAGCTGACTTCAACTTACCCCGGACGAGTTCAGTCTTTTGCAGCGAGACGTTGCTGTTGTGTTCCACCTCATTTCATGTGACAGAAATGTTTTAGTTTGGATATAAAGAGCAAAAATGCACTTGCATGTTGCACAAGTAAACATTAAGAACAAAAAAGCAGTCCCACGTGCACGCAGGCTGAAGAATCAGACGCTCCACGTCTCAGAACACCCGTTGACTGAAATCGGGGAGAGGCAACATTTTCAACTTCCTGGGGTTAAAAATGCCGTTCTCAGTGAAAACACAATTTTTCAGTTGCTCGTGTTACTACTTAATTTTTAAATTAATCAACTAATGAAAAATAAAACTACCAGTCTACACAACTTCACATTTTTTATATTTTATTAAATATTTATCATTTACAACATGTTACAAAATTCATGTTGCATGTATAAAACAAACCCTCCTTCCTAAAACACTCCAAATAAAAGAAAAAAAAAGTCTTGTACAAAAATATATCTTCTGTATTTGTTTCATGCTTAAATATCTAAAATGAAAAGATCTCTTTAATAGTATTTCCTTTGATTTTTCTCATTGTATTTTAAAACGGTACTAAATTCAGTCTATTATAGATTTGTCTCCATCGGTCTCTGTCAGATTTGCATTTGTCCTGATTGTTCAGTGTTTGTATCGGACCTCATTACACTGTCGCCTCTTTCTTTGTACAGGTTCTGGGGATTAAAGTAGAGACAAAGGTATTGTTATGGGGAAAATGAGCTTTGGTTTTCTTCTGTTCACTTCTCCGTTTCATCTTGCTCTTAGTTTAAATTCGCTCTCTCTTCTCCACACTTGTTTTAGTGTCGCCTGAATTTTCAGGGAAGTCTTGGAGTCGAAGTTCAGACTGAGCCCATTAAAACAGAATCTTTGAAGCTTTTGAAGCTCGGTAGCATTTTTGTAAAGTTTCACAACGGTGGACCACCAGGCCTAGTTAATGTCTTAAAATTATTCCATTGCAGTTTTGGACCTCATAAATTTGAAAATGCAGCTTCTCATTTATTTATTTATTTTTTCACACACGCACAGTTACTAACCTAATGAGGTGATAATTAAAGCTGGGGATGTTCTGTTGGTTATAAATGAACTTGTTGAAGCAGCCAGAGAGGCAAGGCTGAGATGGTTTGGACATGTGCAGAGGAACAGACAAAGAATGTTGAACGTGGATCTACAAAAGAGGAGAAAAGAAGAAAACCACAGGATGTTCATGGACGTAGTGGAGGAGGAGATGCAGAGGGTTGGCGTGACAGGATGCTGGGATAGGGTGAGATGGAGGTAGATGTTCTGCTCAGTGACCCCCTAAAGGAAGCAGTCAGAAGAAGTGATGGATCATTAGCAATTTACTCTTCCAAAGTGAAAGTAGATCAGAATAGCTACAACTAATAGCTTAAGAAGAATTTGGGATTAAATCACTTTATTAGTGAGAAATCTGAGTTCTGTAGTGAAGTCAACAGGGGCTGAGTGTTTCAGCTTTTGGATGATTTATCACTATAACCCTCTAACGTTGGCGTTTGTGGTTTTGGAAAGTGTAGTTTACACATTTGTTGTTCTTTTTTGGGGTTTTTTGTATCAAAAGCTTCAGCTTTTTTCTTCAGGCTGTTTAATAAATCCAGTTATGAGGCCAAAAATACATTTCTTTCTACAGTCTTCAGTTGTGATGACTTTCACCAGGAGTCTACAGGTGATTTTATAAATGCAGCATTATTTACATTATAAAGTATTTTTTTTATAGTGTCACTACATTAGGCTCTGAGGAGAAAAATGTGAACAATGATGTAATCTTCTTCCATTTATTAACAGATTAATTGTGTCCATGCTTTATTAAAGCAGTTTTGTTCCATTCGGAGTGAAACAGATCCTATAAACAGACGTCTTCAGTCTCAGACCTCTCACCTTCACTGTAGATCCTGCACTCTTTTCTTATGTTGCTTTGCAGTGGGTTGTTAAAGTGCTTACCAATGACTCATCGTTTGTGTAAAGGGGCTTTTTAGTAATTTTGGCAAATTTTCACTAATTTCTAACTCCGTCTCAAAGCTTCTAGCTCCTGATGCTTTTTTTTTTTTTTTTTTTTTTTGGGTTGCTGCACTTGGTTTGCTTTTGTGCCAATTTTTTTTCTAATCCTGTAACTTTCTCTCCATCCATAGGCGTGGAGGATCAATCTACAATATCACTTTTGGATTGATTTAGATTAATTGCTCAGCTGGGTGATGCAAAGTTTGCTTTGGCCTAAAAGCACCTTTGTTTCCACGAATGACTTTTCTTCTTCCTTTTGGAAAATACCTTTTACTTTTGTCGTCGTCCTGTCTTTTCCCCTGTCTCTTTTGTTCATCTGCACTTCTGTCCTGATTCAGGACCTGACTATGAAGCTCAGTCTGATCCAGAGTGTTGGATTCATAGCCAAAGCCATCAGCGAGTGTGTAACTAAACAAGGCTACATCTTCTCTCGCAAACAGGAGCTCATTACTGTCATGCTGGTCAGTAGCACAACCTTTAATTTAATGCCGCTGCAGCTACGGCAGTAATAAACTTTATTTCTTCTCCTGATTTGTTGAAACTTTTTCAGGATTTTATCAAGTCGGAGCCAGCAGATTCACTGAGGACTCCATTGCGCTCTCTGGTGATGACCACATGTGCTAACCTTGTGTATCCTTCATGCCAGCAAAGCAGTCTTTGCATTACATCGTTACAAAATGGATGTTTAAAGATTATTCTCACTTTCATTTAATATTTACAAATGTTAAATTTAAAATAAGTCTGTTTATTTCAGTGACCTCTTAAATGATTTTAAAGGAACACGGACATGATTAGGTTCAGACATCCATCCATTATCTTTACCCGCTTATTCCATTTTGGGTCACGGGGGTCGCCGGTGCCCATGTCCAGCAATCACTGTGCGAGGGGCGGGGGACACCCTGGACGGGTCGCAAGTCCATCACAGGACCACATAGAGACAAATGAGACAAACAACCATTCACTCTCTCTCTCACACCTAGGGACAATTTAGAGTTACCAATCAGCCTAACATGCATGTTTTTGGCCTGTGGGAGGAAACTGGAGCACCCGGAGAAAACCCACGCATGCACGGAGAGAACATGCAAACTCCACCCAGAAAGGCCCCTGGACCGGGGTTTGAACCAGGGACCTGCTCGCTGAGAGGCAGCAGCTCTACCAGTTGCGCCACCGTGCTGCCCCAGGTTCAGACTTGTAGCTGAAATAAAAGTTGTATATGTGCTAGTGTTTTATAACTCACTCCTCGGTTGTTGTTCTAGATTGAGTTTCCACTGTTTTATTCTTTGACCATAAATACTTCAGACCCCTGAACCCCCCACTGAGTGAGAATGAGAGCTTTGATTTGCTAAAGGTTTGTGTGAATGGTGCGTTTTCTCTTCCACATGAGATGCACACTCCAGAGAAAACCAAAGAGGAAGAGGTACTTGACCCCAAGCAGAGAAAGGTGAGATGTGTGTTCACACAGAAATGCTTCTTCACTGCTTTATATTAAATGGGATGTGTCCAAATTTTCTACTTATTTAATTAAATGGAAAATCTTAATTAATCTTAATAGGCTTTGTACAGAGACACGCTAGCTGCTTTGCAGGAGCTGCTGAAGAGTGTCCTGGCCAGAGATCCCACACCTGACGGCTTGCAAGGTGTCTTTAAGGTGAGGCCTGATGTTTTATACTCGGAGGTTTTATTTTGTCTGTGAATATCTAAATATGCCATTCAGTGTAGATGTTTAAACATTACACCTAAATGTCCTTATGCATGCTCAATAATCCAGGTAGGTAAATCTTACAAAAGGTATAGGAGAAGATGTAAAAGCAGGTTGGCTTTCTTTGTGAGGTCTCAGTTTCTGATAGAGGGCATTTGCAAACCAAGGTGTACCACAAACCCACCCACACAGACCAGTATTTGCAGTTTGACTCCCATCATCCTTTGGAGCACAAGTTAGGAGTCATCAGGACTCTGTACCACAGAGCAGACCGCATCCCCACTAACTCAGGAGCCAGGCAGAAGGAGAAATCCACACAAGACAGGCTCTAGAGCAATGTGGATATCCTAACTGGGCCTTCCTGAAAGCAGAGAAGAAACCCAAACAGGACTCCAGTCAGCCAACAGGTGAAAAGGAGGAACCCAGACCCAGACCAGTGGTCATTCCATATGTTGAGGGAGTATCAGAGAAACTGAGACGTTTATTTTCTAAACATAACGTCCCAGTGGCTTTTAAACCCCAAAATACATTACGGCAAAGACTGGTTCATCCCAAAGATCCAGTCCCCCGGCACAAACAGAGTAATGTTGTGTATGCTGTTCAGTGTCAGGAGGGTGATCAGTCTTACATCGGGGAAACTAAACAGCCACTGGCCAAAAGGATGGCCCAGCACAGAAGATCAACATCATCAGGCCAGGACTCTGCGGTCTACACTCATCTCCAGGCCAGCGGTCACTCTTTCAGGGATGAAGATGTTCACATCCTGGACAGAGAAGAACGATGGTTTGAGAGAAGAGTAAAGGAGGCCATCTTTGTGAAAAGAAATCGTCCATCATTAAACAGGGGTGGAGGCCTCCGGGTTCAACTGTCCCCCTCTTACAATGCTGTGATTTCTAGTATCACTCAGCCCCCTGTGAACAGCAAGCAGCCATCGGGGTGCTCATGATCCATCGTTAGGCTGATGGTCCTCCTTTTGCATGTGAACAGCTAGTTTTGGATCCTAACGAGATTTAAAGCAAAAACAACTGGACTTCTGTTCTGTAGCTGAAGACGTTTCGCTTCTCATCCGAGGAGCTTTCTTCATTCAAGCAAACGAGTGTGGGGTTCAAGTTCTAAAGCTGATGTGTTCTGTAGTTTTGGATGTCAGGAGCAAACTGGTTGATCCACTATGAGAAGGTGCTGTTTGAGACGGTGTGTTGCAACTCTTCAGACTGAAGTCTTCTGGATAAAAGACAAAGAAGAATCTGTCCAGACAACCTGATTCAACCTTGTTAGATTATGCTACCCCCCCCCCCCCCCCCAACCCCCCAACTCATTTTATGTGCTTTAGGATTATAGTTTTTTTTGGGGGGGGGGGGGGTTGTCTGAACGGCTTTAAAACTTTCGACTGACTTGCCTTGTATATTTTAACCTTTTTGGTGTAATTATTTGATGTCCCTTTGGGATTAATAAAGTATTATTGAATTTTAATTTTATGTTTTTTTGCAGCACATTGAATCATGGCTGGGCTCAGTACATGACCATGAGAGGGAGAGGGCCATCACAACCACCGCCCACATACTGTCTTACTATCTGGATAACCTCAATGTCAAGGTACAAAGACACGCTAGCAGTTCCTGCAGACTGTAGCGTTAAACACGCAAACTGTTGCATGTCATTATTTTTCAATCTGTAATTTGCAGAGCATGGTGTCTTTTCACAACCTCGGAGCTCTGCTAGGTCGATTGTCTCCTCGGTGTTCAGACCCTGACCCCACTGTACGCTCTGCTGCCATAGACTGCATATACACACTGCTTTGTATACAGCTACGATATGAGGGTATTTTCATGCACAATTTACCTTTTTTATCATCAGAAATGGTTCTAATGAAAAATGGTTAAAGTGTTTATCTGTTTTAACTGATTGTACATCTTGTATGTTCTTGAGAAAAGCACTTCTCTATTAAACTATGTGTACACTGCGTTGATGCATTTTATCTTTGTTTTATGGATTTGTTAGGCTTCTCTTTGGATTATAAAGATGATGCTGTTGAAGGTCTGCTAAATTTTAAGGCGCAACTGGAAAACCCGGACCATTCAGTTCTTTACAAGACCTGCTCAGACCTCACCAAGGTACTTGTTTTATTGTCCCCAAAAGTATAGGTTCCTCAAATAATTGAGGGGGGCCAGTGGGGTAGCTGAATATTGATCTATTGTGGCCAAGGCCACCATTGGACACATCCTGGCTCTGCCATTGCATTTGGTTTCAAATAAAATTGCTCCCTACACTCGCCAGCATCGGGACAAGTGGAAGATAAAAAAAATAAAAAAACTACCCGTGTTCATTTCCACAGTGCAACTCTTACCCACTTGAATGTTTTTCACCAGAAACATTGTTTACTTCCAATCCCTGTTTGATTCAGTCCAGAAAAACGCTAATCTCCAAAACAGACATTCACTATTAAAATCCCACAGAGGTGGGGGACATCAATGTACTCTTTGTATTTACCTTAAAATGTAACTTGTCAATACTTGTGTCACTCATGCAGTTTTACACTGTTTATCTTGAGCAGTATGATGATAGTCATAATGTTCTGTGACCTAAAGGGTGTAACAACAGGTCCAGTAGTGGTGTGTAACCGTCTCTTCCTGCGTGTGTCAGGTGATGAGCAAGCGTCTGCCTCAGCAGCAGCTCACAACGTTGGTGTTCATGTTGTTTGAAGTGCTGGCCGACAGTCAGACAAACTGCTGCAGAGCTTCATCTGTCATCTTAAATACTCTGCTGAAGAACAGAGGAGCAGGACTGCAGGATCTGGTACCATGCACGCACCCACACACATATGCACGGTCATTAGGTTGTAGCTGCTGGATGTCTATCATCTTATTTTATCTGTATTAATGTTCTAGGTCCCAGAGATGTTGGAGGTATTACATGTGCGTCTACAAAGCATCACAGATGAGCAGGTAGAAAATTACAACATTTTAGAAATCGTTACATGCAAGTTTTTGTTATTTTTGAAATGATAAAGTAATTCAACTTTAGACAATGAAGACCTATTTTCCCAATAATGGGTCATAGTGTTTGTAATTTATGTGCCCAACACATCTATTTATCATTTGTGTTGATCATAACCACGGTTCAATAACTTTTCATTACATTTGTAGGTGAGAGTAGCAGTGGGACAAACTGTACTAATCCTGGCTTCTCAGCATCTGCAAACTGTTATTAATACACTTGTTAACCAACCTCTACCTTATGACAAGTATGTATGCACATTTACTGGAAAAATGGTTAACCTGACCCTTCCAGTCTACTTATGGGGGATTTTTATCTCAATGTTTTGACGGACATTATATTTGTTTCATTGTTCAGCTGGACCTGTGAGATGTGGATGGCACTGGGAGCTGATCCAATGGTAGCCAATCAGATCATAGAGATGGTGATGGAGAAACTTGCAATCACTGCACCATATGTGGACAAGAAGGAGTCAATGATGAGGGGAGGGACAACAAAGGTGGCCACCAGTCAGCCACTGGCTGTGAGTCAAATAAGGCTATGAACTGACTGAGACAGCGTTAAGACATGTCTCAGAAAATATTTAATGTGAAAATATAATTTATGTTCTCAAATGTGTTGCTGTTGTCAAACTTAATGTACTTTAGATGCTGAAAGGTAATTGTCACGCGTTTGCCTGTATGTGTGCGTCTTGTTTCAGATGACGTGCGGTCTTAAAGAGTTGTTGTTAAACGGGCAGAGTCAGGAGCCAGCCGTCAGTCTGTTCCCTCGGATCTTCTCCTGTCTCACCATCCGACTGGGAACGAGTGTTGGAGTCTTGGCACCGAAGGACAACACTCAGAAACGCCCTGCCTCCATCCATGTAGCAGGGTTTGTGCTTTTGTTTTAATGTTTCAGAAAATATGGATTTTTATTCACTTAAGTAATTTTTATATCCTTTTATATCCTTTTTTTTTTTTTTTTTTTAATTTTCGTTCCAGGGTAGCAGCTGATGCTCTGAGGATTTTATTAGCACGAGCTCAGTTAGATGAGGTGATGAAAAGACTAGATGAAGATGACGCTTGGGATGCGATAAAGGAACAAAGTACACACACAAAAGGAGTAACACTATTAGCCAGGTAAGTAAAGTTAGCTGGATGCTAAGCTATTCAAAATACTTAAAATGTTCAAACTAAGAAGCTTATTTAAAAATGGAAAATTAAACTCAAACTGATTAAACTTTGCCTTTTACTCAAAGTATTCTTGTTAAAAAAGAATCTTGTTGGACATTTGATAACTATTTGGTAAATGACATTCATGAAGGAGTCTCCAAAATGTCTTGAAACATTAGCATCCATCCAAGAGGCACATTCACCCATCCCTCAGTCCAGTACTGAGATGTGTTCTGACCACCTGGGTCCATTCAGAAGATGCACCGAGACAATGGGTATGTTTACATGGACATAAGTAACCGGATCAAATGGCCGGTCAGAATAAAAGTGTGTCATGTAAACACTCCGTTCGGGTTATTTTTTGTGTATTCGGCGCGATCCGATATAATTTGTGATCAGAACGAAACGGGTGGTTTACGCCGATCCGAAACCCGATCGGTGTCCATGTAAACGCTTGATGTGTTCGTTTTTATCTGATCGTGAAAAACTGACCTGACTGCGCATGTGCGACTTTGCCATTTCCGCCTGGCTAACGCTAATAATATTAGCATGCCAGGGAAGCAAAACTGGTCGGTGAGCGACACAACATTTCTACTAGAAACTTTGAAAGAGCTCAAAATGATCTGTATTACCTGTAGCTCAGTCAGGGAGTGCAGTAACGTCTCCACCATCATTAAAACCTGTCGCGGGTCCATTTTGGGTGCTCAGGTTTGTTTACATTCACCCAGGAAGTAGAACTTCTTCTTTGGTGTTTTTTTTTAAGGAGAGTTTACCACTCTGCGCATGTCAGTACTGCTGTTCAGAACAAAGCCCGCTGCATGCAAACGCTCGTCATGAACAGATTGTGCCCATGTAAACAATACATTTGAATTATTCAAACAGAACACATTTCAATCCGGTCAAAGAATTCTGCGCATGTAAACATAGCTAGTGAGTAGCATCAAACAGCCCACCTCTGGTGTGCCACTGTGCCTCAGAGGTAATAACAGAGCTGGGCTGGCTGATTAAGTACAGGGAGAGAAAAAAATGATGCAGAGCTGCAGCTCAGTAATGTGATAAAATAACATGTGTGTCTGCTCACTTGCAAGATGAAACTGATTTATCAAGATAACATTGATGATGCAAAGCATATTTGTAGTTGGTTTAAAAAAAAAAACCACAAAGACGATCGCTAATGTTATTTAATTAAGTTTATTAAGTTTTTAAATTACAGGAGGGAGTCTGCTGAAAAATGTTTCCTGTGTCGAGCTCCACTTCAGCCCCACGGAGTTCTGTTCTGTGCTTTTATTGGTTCCTCTTGGCTCACTTCATATCTGAATGCTCGCATGTGGCCAGCTTCACCTGTGAGTTATGAATGGTTAGAGGAATCTTAAAGACTGACTAGTCTGTACAGCCATTTCGCCAAACCCCTGGTGTCAGAAGCATTTGTAATGTGTGTGTGTGGGGTGGGGGGATGGGTGGGGGGGGAGTCTGGGGGTTCTCCCCCAGAAAATTTTGAATAAACTAGATACATATTTTTATTATTAACCTTTTTATTTAACCAGGCAAATCCAGATGCCATTTCCTGCATTCTGGTGTATTTTAATATGTTGTTGAACATGTACATTTACCTCCATATTTAAACACCTGATTCAGTAACTATTTTAGAGCGCACAGCTCAAGAAGAAGTAGCCTGACCAACAGCTCTCCTTGTGTGAACAGAGCACGCTCCGCTTCTCTCAAGCATCCTTGCCCCCCATCCCTGCGTCAAACTGCCAGAACTAATGTAGCGCTAAGCTAGTGGTACGCAATAGACACGTTAGCTAAGATGCTACCGACATGGCGCTCTGCTTCTCTCACATCCTAACCCCCGTCAACAACAGCCAGCACTAATGTGGCACTAAGCTAGTGCACAAAACAGGGGTGTCTCTCCCTGTGAGCGCCCTGCCAAGGAAGATAACGGAGGGGAAACGCTGCATGCGGTGGTGAGTTGTTGTAGGTAACCAGTAAAACCTGGCATGGATTTTTAGTGGTTTGAGTATTCTCCCATTAATAAAGTGTAATGAATTAGTTCACAAAGAAATGGAAACGGCACTGAGTGAGCTAATATTTCATGGTAAATGTGGGGGGGTCCAAATGAATAATTTCTAAATGTTGGGGCGGCAGGGAACATGTCCCTTCACATATAAATTGTTGTAACACCTATGCACAGAACTATCTAATGAATGAGCCTACAGTCTCTGCCGCGTGTCCTGGATCTTCCCCAAGGTCTCCTCCCAGTCAGACGTCTGTAAAACCTTCCCAGGGAGCATCCTTACTAAATGCCCGGACCTTCTCTACTGAATAACCATTCCAAATCTACTGGTCTTTTAAGTGTACTCCAGTAGATTAAATCATAAATAATTGTAGGAGTGGGGGCTGCTAAGGTTGGTACGTGTGTGGAGGCAGGTCCGATGTAGCATTACACGCAGTATATTCTAGAACAGTGATGCGAGTGCGTTTGTCCTGTCTATAGGGCAATGGCAAAGCATGCTGGTCCCAGGTTGCCTGCAATCGTCGAGTGTCTCTGTCCATCACTGAACAACATCTACGAATGTCAGAGAATCACCGTCACAGCTTTCTTCTCAGAGGTGATAAAAGCATTTTACTGAGTGTGAGGGGAGATGTGTGTGTGTATATGTATATATGTATATGTATATATGTATATGTATGTATATATATATATGTATATGTATGTATATATATATGTATGTATGTATATGTATATATGTATATATGTATATGTATATATGTATATGTATGTATATGTATATATGTATATGTATGTATATGTATATATGTATATGTATGTATATATATATATGTATATGTATGTATATATATAT